TCTCTTTGTTCGGTAACCATATGGGATATCACGTATGATGGAATATCACGTTTCCTTTATTTATAGTACCAACCAAAGATGTACGTTTTGAAAGCAAGTTCTGTGCGAGAGATACAGATGTGAAAAAATTGCCTGTAGGCACATTTCTACGTTTATTCAGAGATGGTTCCATAAGATGCATAACGACGCAATCAAAAGTTTCTAGGTTGTCATGAATTTCTCTCTTATTTGCTTTCGTGCATAGGCAGTAGATTCTGACTGTTCAGTCACATTATGACTTCCTCGGTGACCCGCCACCTCTGAGTCATTTGCAAGTATAGATTTCCACAATATTCCACCTGGTGACATCATATTATTATGAGATATATTTTCATATAATTATGTTCGAACAACACGCACTCGTCGTCGCCGAGACGATCTTTTTCTAGTCTTTTGTTGAATGGCATCCAACGATATGCTGCTGTCTGAATCATCACTAGAACTTTACTTAGGAACTGAGGAATATACCGGGTGTAAAACGAAGACAGACGATAATACTAACGATACCTTTGATGATGGAACAAAAACAAAACCTTTTTCATGAAATCTAAAACTTATGAATATCGAATGACTCCCTTTATTAGTATCTTTATTGCACCACAATTAATTTTCGGTTTTGTTTCAGCAAATTTTGTGTATAATTTAATGCTTTTCATTTCTTTAGTTTTTAATTTTAAAGCAGAAAACCGCATGCAAATAAATGCTGATACTGTGGTACCTTTTAATGGCAATAAGGGAAGGAATTAAAAATACTCCATGGAGTAAAATGCTTATTAAAAAAAGGAGTGTGAAAAAAAATTTCGATAACAAAGAAAAATAAAATAGAGGGAAATTTGTGTAGAATTGAAGTTTTGTACTCTAAATTGGGGAATTTAGGGACAAATAATGAGGAATAAATTGTATTATTCAATAAATACTATTTTATTAATTATACGAAGTAAATACCGTCTTCCTAGTAGACCAATAATATTTAGTTACTTTTGTGTTCATTGCAACGAATGGCAATTTGTGGATGTTAAATAACGTAGGCAAACAAGTAATAACCTTTTATAACCAACGAATTAGCAACCAATAATAAAGAAATACTAATTTAAATAATTATATGAATACTAGCTTTCATCCGCGTGGAATTCGGTCGTACCGCGTTCTCTATAGTAAATTTTGAGGATAAAAGATAGCCTTTGTGATGTTTCCAGCTATTTGAATACCGAATATCGTCAAAATCTGTTGAGTGAATTACCATTGCCTTTCACAGCTTCTTTCCTCAAATTCACAGTTTAATGGCTAATAACGACCAAATTTGTAAAGCCTACTTAGCTGTGATAGTTTACCTTTTTAATTTAACCAGACATCAAGATATCTCAATATGTATTATCAAAATCATTTCAGCAGTTTAGTCACGAAAGCTCATGAAACACAATTCTGAACAACAAACACAATGTTAAACAATAGATAACAACATGTTTAGTAATTATAGATAGATATAATTTTGAACGTAATTTTGAATATTTTTATCCAATAATTTACTAACTGAAATGCTGTCGACTTTTAAAACATAAAATAACAAATATTATTAAAATATTTCTAAATATGTTGGTGGTTACCGGTTACCGGTAAATCACTAAACAAGACTACATCCGTACCATTATATACTACAGTTTGTTAAACGCCGCACAGACTAATATTATGCTACGCATCGTATACGTGTTCAACAACTTGTTATTTACAATATAATAAGAAAAAATTATACTTTTTTTTTTGTAAATAATGTGCAAATTGCACACTATTTATAAATAAATATGTTTTAACATTTAAACGATTTTTTTTTTGATGATCGTGAACATCGGTCAAAAGTCTAAAATGTTTGTCAACACAGTTATTCGTTCTCTTTCTTTTCGGAAAGAAACGGTCTGTAAAGATACGTTGTGAATCCGTTGTTATTGCCGTGGAAAAAAGTTAGAATGTATGTTGTATAAAATGCGTTTGTAACATTTATTTATTGAAATCTATATGACCGATGAGTGAATTGAGTTTCTAGTAGTAATAATACGATGTAACCGCTTGTACGAGGGCGGCACTGAAAATTTCGGGAATCAAGGAAGTGACACAACATTACTATTTAAAAATGTATTTATTGCTTTTCGAAGTATTCTCCGCGAAATTTGACACATTTTTCCATACGATGGAACCAATCATTGAAGCAACCATTCCATTCGGAAGTTGGGGTCTCTAAAATGGCCGTTTTGTAGGCGTTTCAGGTGATGAAAATCTCTGTCCACGCAGTTTATTCTTTATTTTAGGGAAAGTATAGAAATCATTAGGGCTTAGGTCGGGGCTGTACGGCGGATGGTCTAATAATTCTATGTTTTCTTGCTCTAAAAACTCTTTTGTTCTGTGTGCGGTGTGAAAACTCGCATTGTCGTGATGGAGGATGATGCGGCGGTTGCAGTTCTCTTTACGGAGTTCAGAAACGACCTGTGGCAAACAAATGCTAGCATACCATTCTGCATTAACCGTTCTTTGTCCCTCAAGAGGAATAGTCGAAACATGGCCGGTTTTGGAGACAAACGTGGCCACCATTTTTTTTTTGCAACACTTCGTGAACGAACAATTTTTGTTGGCTTTAACTCATTTTCGAACACCCAAACTCGTGACTGGTTTTTTGTTTCGGGTTCGTACGCGTATATCCAGGATTCGTCACCTGATACAATGTTGTATACATCATTTGAGGATCCTGCGTGGAATCTTTCTAGAGTTTTGACGCACCAAGTAACGCGAGCCGCTTTTTGCTCTTCACAGAGCGAATGCGGTATCCATCGGAAAAACAACTTTTTTACACCTAATTGTTCATGCAAGATTATTTGTATTTGACTCATGCCAATGTCTAAAGTTGCCTGAATTTCGCGGTATGTCACATGTCGACCTTCCTCAATCAGCTTACGCACAGCATCAACGTTTTCTTGGGTGACTGCAGTTTGGACGACCTTGACGGGGATCATCACTGAGCTTGACACGTCAGCGTTGAAATTCAGAAAACCAGCGATAAATTGTGGTTTTGGATGGGACTTCATTACCAAATGCAGAAATCATCCGGTCAACACACTGTTTTTGTGTTAAACCACTTCGAAAGTCATAATAAATCATCACTCTTGAATTTTCTCGAGTCAATTCCATTTTCTCAACGACTAAACAAGTTTGACAAAACCTTGTGACAAGACCGAGAATCTTTTTTTAAATAAATAAATGGTATTCAATTTTAAAAAACCAAGGACTTTTCAATTAAAAAGATTTTAATATGACAGGAACAGTGGAAATATTCCATTCCCGATACTTTTAGTGCAGCCTATGTATGTATGCTCCCGGTGATACCGGTTCTCGTACAAAATAAGGTTGGCAGCCATTCAATTATGTATGATAGTATTCTATGGTCGAGAATATTCTGAATTACACCTTTTATGGGATCAGTAACGGCATGGAGGAATAACGTGAAATATCGTAAAATTACAACGCATCCAGTTCTGCGATAATTAATCCGCCTGTCAAACATAGCTATTACGGCAAAACCATATGTAATAAATACTAATAGTGAGTCAACTCGGCGACTAGACAGAGGAACGATAGGGCGCGCTATGAAGGAGAGCGGGGCGTTCCCCCCCCCCCCCCCCCCCCCGTGTCGGCGACGTCTGCGGTAGTACCGGTCGGCTTCGCTTACGCCTATTTAGGAGTGTCACGTATACGGAATCAGCAGCACGCGTTTGATGTTCACCCAGCAACATGATATTACTGCGTATTATTTTAAAATCGTGGGTAAGATCCATCACGATTTTTAATTGAATTATATGTAAGGATAAGAATTCATTATATCATTAATATCAGCAAAAGACAATTAAAAACCCAATAATAAATGTAAATATTTGTCGGTTGCACATCTGTAAGAGACGCGGCGAGTGCGTTGAATAAACAGAAGTAACGTATAATTTTAAACTATTTTATTTATTCTGTTCAACCCCTATCCAATATTTTAAGCGAAATATCTGAGATACTGCTATATAGGTAAAATATAGTAAAATTAGATAGGTACCTACCAGCATAAGCCCACGACGAATCAGGTGAAGCTGCGGAACGCAACTAGCTTTGCAAAGTAGTAATTAGTTTGTATCTTTGTATAGAAAAATAAATTATTACGGAGAATACTGATAAATATAATGTTATAATATTATTATCATAGGAAATGTTTTTGTGACAGCCCTTGCATATTTTTAGCGACTTGACGTCGAGACAGCCTTGTAGGTATTTTGCGGTATATCAAAGAAGTTGACCAACTATTAGTATTTATTACACATAATATGGCAAAACCTTTACTTAAATGGGGGAGGCCAATTTGATGCAATGAACTTATTAGGAGCTGATGATTATAATAATAATACAAAAACTGAAGGTCATACTCAGTGGCGTCAAATAGAACTCAATGGGCCCTAATAATCTTCCGCTTAACCAGTTGTTAGCCACAACTTGAGACTAAGGTGAAGTGTTTTATTACACAATGTCATTTAATAGAGGAAGTTAGTTTTAAATAAAAGTTTATCGGTTACTAGAGTATTATATCAATACACAAAACAGTTCGTCAGTGGTTTGCTCTTTAATTTTTTTACACCTTCTTAATCTTTTTTTAATTACTTTTAGGTATACCCGTTACTTGCTTTATTATTTCTACTCTTATTAATATAAAATATAACTAGTATTACAGAAAGAAACAGTAACCCTTACATTTTGCTTACAAATTATCTTCTTTCTTTCAATTTATTCTCTTTCTACCACGACATCTGTCAAATATTTAATCACATTCCAAAATGGCGCCGCTGTGGTGGCAGATAAGTTGTAGATGCCCTCATAAATATCTACTCTTTAATTTTATAGGGAATGCGTTGCGTTTAATATTAATATAGAAGCGAAGATGTTACCTGGAGGTCGATTTTCGTGAAAGAAGAATAGTCTGCAAGGCCAACAGCTTCTCTACATGCCCAGTACTCTCGCTGTACCGTTTCGAACCAATGCGGTTTGCCAAATGTCTTTGTGTGGGCAATTTTAAATGGTCGTGGCTTCTGAGGATTTTCCTTGTCTTTGTCTGTAAAAATTGCGATGTTAAAACACGAAATTAAGTTAAGAAGGAAGACTTATCAACACGGAGGAAATACAAAGAGGATATGGCCTAAGCAACTGTGCACTGTGATTCTAACTAGGTCCTAACGTCATCACAGTGGGCGTGGCTTTAATGTTAGTATACTGTCAGCGTTCGTCCTGTACACTTACTGTGTCGAAAAACGCAAATCAGTGTATTTTCGTAGTATTAAGAAGAAAAGGATTAAGTGTTGTGTTTTATCGTGTAAAAACTACTCAGATAGACGCTCTAATGCTATGGATGGCATCAAATTTCATTTGTAAGTAATTTTATACCTAATTTATTAAAATAATTCTAGAAAAATCTCTGCGTCGACTTTCAAATATAATTAAATATATTCGACAGTAGATGGCGACACTTTGTTTCATGGGAACTAAAATTATAAAGGTGCGTAGAGCTCAGTATTGGTAAAATAATCATATGAAGGTAGTGAAATTTGTTTTGCATTCAGTCCTAAAAAAATTTTTATCGCCAAAATATTAGTTTTACAGTTTTTATAATCACTTTGTAAATACGCTGCCATCTATCGTCAAAGTAGCTAAACTACATTACAACATCGATATGGAACGATGCGAGTAGTTTTACTATTTATCGGTAGATGGAAATAGTTAAGTGGGCGGGGCTTAACACCCCCTCACCCCGCAAATTGTCACGCGTTGTTACATAATGAAATCTAATTACAACACCTCCTCTTTGTATTTGCTTCGTGCTTATCACCTACATGAGTTTTTACTAAAATAAACTTACCAACTATTTCAAACCAAGTGGGCCTTTCGTATCCCATGACCTGCCCAAATACGGCGCCATTGTCACGTAAAGTAGGATATATCGGCGAAAGACGAAGGTTGCGTCCTGTCTCGAACTCATAAAAGGGATATGGTAGACCATAATGGACACCTACAAAGTTACAATTTACTAGTTTATAAAATTTTGTAACACGTAGATAAAAAATAATGTGTAAATTATATAAATTACCTGGCACCTCCTTCACGCGATCCCTTAGGAACCTCTTATTGTTATGTAGGCCAAGAAATCGATTAATGTCCAGCTCATACATATCGTACTTTGTATAGCCGTCCACTATCTCGTCAACTGTGGCTTCGGCCACCCCGCCCGCTGCCGAAATCCCAACGGTCTTCATACCCGCAGCCACGTGATAGTTGAACATCTGAAGATATTGGCTCAAGTCTCTTATTTGTACTAATGAACGAAAACAATCTACAAATATTTAATCGACATATTTTTGTTTCAATACACACAGGCCTTCAAAAATTCACTACTGATTGTAGACCTACTCCATTCATCGCGTCTAAGGGTGGTTATTAGCTATAATATTTAGCTTATATAATTTTTTTTTAAAGTAACCTTATTTAATTACTCAGAAGATACCTTCTACATGATACCACATTATGCCAGAATATTAAAGGTGCTTAATATAAACAAGAAAATTTTATCTCATAGTTGTGTGAATCAACATCCTACAAAAATGCCGAATTGTTTAGTTTTTTTGCTGCAAATAGAGATCTGTATGTTCTTATCTGTGGGTCTATTTGCGTCAAATTTACAAAAAGATGGTGTCAAAGACTGTCATATTTAAGTAATTTAGATTAAATACTAATGTAGCAAAAAAAAATGACGACATAATGTTGTACAGTTCTGATATTACGTAGATGTAATACATATTGTGCGGATATGATGCACGTGGTAAAAGTTTTAAAACTTAAGGCATCTAAAAGATTGTAGTCTTATACAGAGTGGTTTATCCTTACTTAAAAACAATTTTAAATTTGTTACTTCACGTCTTATTATTTCTTAAAATACTATTCTATTTCATTTCCACGTTGGCTTTCTTCTGTCCTCGGTTGAAGTCTCATTCACCTCGAAACGTTCGATCTAACGAATTTAGCTTAATCCGTACCTGCTCTATTCATCGGATCAAACGTTCCGCGGCAACTATTTTCTTCTTCAAAACGCCGACTTGTTGCTTCCTTTGAATGAATACGCGAACGCCTTGTGCCGCTCCAACAATATTTTTTCCAATTATATGAATTATTATTTTCAGTTAAATGTCACTGCACTAATGAAACTGCATTCAATTAAAAATATTTCCACTTACGATAAAGTATGTTTTATTTTTGGCTTTCATTACTTAGTTCACTTTCATTACACCCTAATATGTTACAATAATTAAAAGAAAACCGCACATAATCATTGCTATCAACGTTTTAACAATTTGTCGAACTCTAATTGTTTAATGTTATTGCTTTCTTATTATACTATAGCATTTGAATATTTCTAGAAACTAATAAAGAATTAAGGTAAGTAAGTTAGTACAAAGAAATTTTTCAACTAATATGGTTTGATAAATATATGCGGTGTTTATGAATCACAATTCATATTACATTAGACAAAGACTAGCAACTCATATACAAAGAACATGAACGTTAAACCAAATTATCAATCACTTAAAGCGCAGACAGCAAGTCTCTGTAGAGAGAGGTTTTAGAGAACTATGGTTAGGTATATGGCAGGAAACTTTGGGAAAGCCAGACCGCCGACTGCCGCGCCGCTAGCTAAGGAAATCAATATCAGCATCGGATAGCGGGGCCAGGAGAGCGGAGGCAATACATTCGAATACATAATATATATGCATGTACAGATACTTTGTATATGATGAACAGATTATTTTTATTACATATTACTATTAGTTAACCAACATTATAATTCGGTTATAATGTGGGCGTCTGCAAAGAAAGAGTGAATAGTCTTTTGTTAAGCTAAGCCAGTGTGAAAGAGATGGTAAAGCTTGAGGGGAGGGGGTAGTAGTCAAGCACTGGCTTATAATAGATTAAAAAATCTGGAAACTATATTGATAGTAAAATTAAATTTTTAGCTTCTGTTCTTTGTCTTTGTTCAAACAAACTGTTTAGTAAATGAAACGATTTCGTAACGATACACTTAATAATTAATATAAAATATACTCGATATTGACAAACAATGGAATATAGTATAGGTATATTATAAAACAATAATTTTAATCCATTATGGTACGAACGGACAGTCTTTTGCCGCCTGTCCGTTCTTACGAAATAAGGAATGGTATGAATGATCGAGGCCAAGACGATATCAGTTTGTAAACTTGACGGTATAAATCGTATATTATGAAGTTATTATAATAAATTCAACTAAATATGCATAACGGAAACTTTAACTTACCTCAGGGGCTTCACCAACTATCCACTTGCAATCAGGCGAGAAGGCCTCCAGACCATTACAAAGTTTGTGTAAGACGGCTTGACCGAGACTAGGCACGCGCTTAAGAAACTCTTGGAGCAGAACGTGAAAATGGTCCCAGTCTTCGGGCACGCATCTTTGCGCCGCACTCTTGACTGTTACGTTAAAAAGTAGAAAAATATTAACAAAACTCTATTCCTGTCTTAGATTAAAATGTCTGTTGATTAATATTGTCGAGAAAATCAATTATATAATATGATCACTGGCGATTCTTTGTCTATGTCATTCGCTTAAAGCCTTCAAAAACAGGATAATTTAAACAATACGCGAGCATTAACTAAACTTTACGCTTATAATAAATTTAAATTTACTATGTAGGTACAGACAATGGCAGATTGCAACTCAAACGAACGCTTCAATATATAACATAAAATTATAACATAAAACACATAAAATTAAACAAATCATAAAAACTAGTTGTCACGTTTACCGAGCTACATTTTAATTGTACACAAAGAAACAAAGGATTCGCGAAGCCGAAAACTAGATGAACACTCCAGCTCAGTTCGAGGATAGAGCTCGAAGTGAGCTAAGCCTAGGTCACGGAAATAGTGCGCTGGCTGGATCGATCCGTTGACCTACTTAGGTCCCAGGTGCAGCTCCAGGCATTATTGAGCTGTTGGCGCAACGCAGAATTGCACAAATTGAAAATGAACATCTATACTATCTAGATGTCCTAGCAACCTTTCAAAATTTCCGGAGCAAATACATTTTTTATACATGTTATAATTCTTTTACGCTGCACAGTTCGGTTACGCAACACAAACATTAAATATAAGATCATTGCATTTTAGGGCATAAAATAATTAATTAAATTTATTAACAAAAACAAAGAAGCATTTACTTTACTCAACATTTTTTAAGGAAAGGTTAAGGTAAACACAATTCAATAAATCAATATTATTAAGTTAAGAACGTTTCCAAATGCATCTCTCGTAAGCAGGTCAATAAAGAATGGCAATCATAAGTATGTATGCAGTTCATAGTCTGCCTTAGGTATTTTTTATAAAACTGAAGTGACACAGTCCACCTGATGGTAAGTGGCTACTGCAGTTCGTGGACACCTGCAGCCAAGTACAAAGATCGGAAGATCAGCCCTTAGGTCTGGTCCTATTAAAATATGAAAAAATTCACAATCGCAATACCAACTTCTCCCCATATGTATTCATTGTTTGTAATAATATTTAAAGCAGTCTTTGAGAGGCCTGAGAGGATGTTCAGCAGCGGAGTGGACTAGACGATGAATACTTGAGGTGATTATTTTGTCATCTGCAGCAGCCCCAACCACTTTTCGGCGACTTTCTTAACACAATCAAACATGATGTGAACATGAATAAATAAAGAATAATAAAAGGAAATATTTATACTAACTTTCTTCTTCATATACCGGTTTAGCAACGGGTTCAAAACCACCAGCTATTAAGCAACCGTCGCGTTCTCGAAGGTAAATATATCCATCAGGATCTCTTACAACTAAAATAATAAAATAAAATATTTAAATATTTTTAAATTAAAGAAGTTACTTTAGATAAAAGAGTGAATATAATATGATAGAAATATAAACCTACCTGGGGTCATAGGATCTAGATTATCAATACGTTTCGTATGTAAGTAATAATGCTCACAGGGTAGCAAGGGCACTTTAACCTGAGGTTTCGCTAGTTGACCGACCTAAAGGATAAAGAAAACTTAAGTTCCGGAGTTTTGTTTCTTAAAATAATTCGTAATATGACAATACCTAACATAGCTCCTACGTAAAAGACTTCATCAACCAACACATCCTTTGGCAGTAGTACGAACTGGCGTTTTTAGGGTTGCAGTATGTGCAGTTGTTATGGATGTAATTGGCTCTCCTGAGCCACTGTGTTTTGTAACATTTCTTCGAGGAGGTCAGCAATGAACTTGTGATAGGTTGCAGTAAGAATAATGACGTTAAACGACGATCCAATCGCAGTTACGCAACGAAATTTCATCATCATCATCATTACAGTCATTCATAAGTCGACTGCTGAACATAGGCCACCCCAAAAGAATGCCACAAAGCACGGTCCTGAGCCAACTGCTTTCATCGACTTCCTGCATATGTTAACAGGTCGTCACTCCATATGGTGGGGGACGGCCTACACTTCGCAAAGTGGTACGAGGCCGCCACTCGAAAACCTCTCTGCCCCATCGGTTTCTCGGTTTTTCAAGCTATATGGCCGGTCCATTGCCCCGTCAGCTTCTAATGCGTTGTGCTATGTCGATTATTCTGGTTCTACTGCGGATATCCTCATTATTAGTTTATCACGCAGAGAAAGACCGACCATATCCCTCTCTATAGCTCGCGGAGCGACCTTGAGCTTCCTCAAATGAAATTTATCTAATATCAAAATCAATATAAACAAAAGAAGTTTATGAAACTAATAACATACTCCCATCGAAGGTAGCTTCCAACAAAGGCCTAAGGTGCGTTGTAAAACCCCCAAGGACTACGATGGTGGAGTGTGTGCTCGATTTCACATTCGTATAAAAAAGCCTATTCAGGGGGGAAAAATAAACCCGTTACCATACCTTCAACATAAGGCAGAGTAAGGTAATATGCCAAACATGAAGAAATGGAGATTTCCGATAGTGGTTATAGCAAGTGATGAAAAGCAGCGATTTAGGTGCCGGACAAGGTTTCTCGCCTATAACCTGTTACTTTGATCGCCAGTACATATGTCAATCAAGTCGAATATGTAATATGTGAAAATAAATATAATTTTTCGGATTTTTCGTGTGACTAAGTTCAAATTAAACGCATTAAAATCCGACCGAATCTGATGAAATGTTTTGTGTGTTTGAGCGAATCCCTGGATGTTTTAGATTCACAATTGGACCCGGTAGGTGGAGCTGTTGTCGAGATCCCAAAATCACCCGCGCGAAGTCGAGGCGGATCGCTAGTATATAATATAATATATTAAAACCAGACCTTTCCGGCTTTGTGTTATGTTCAACCAATTGCTCGGCTAGTCTCTACCCCTTCGTTGTCGACTCATTCGAACCATACGGTTTGCTTTATCGTTCGGCATGCGTAGAGCAAAGGAGTGGAATAAGTTGCCACCATCTTACCATCCGATTACACTGTTGGTGTCAAGGCAAAACTAAACTACTAACAACAGGTGATCCCGCCTGTTGCTGTTAGTCAAGCACTGACTTAGAATGGTTAAAAAAAGAAATCATTTTGAAATTGAATTGAATATTCGTGGTAGAGCCATGCTGTAGCTATATTAATGATATATTTGTAGCACGAATGGGTCAGCTCGACCGGGGAAGGACCACGCTCTCACGGAATACCAGCGTAAAATAGCAGTTTCGTATGGTGAGTGTACAGAACCGGAGACCCTTTTTACTGGAAACGAGGCATTCCATCTTAGTCCTCAGGGGTGACAACCTATCTACATTTGATACGTAATCGAGGATAGATGTAGATGTCTATAGGCCACAGCAACGTGTGTGCTCGTTTGTCACCCTAATTCTTTAAAAAAAAATCCTAAGAAATTTCTAGCAATGGTCTGTTACCATGGTAATGTCGATATAATGCATAGTAATGGTGATTCAATATGGTTAAATTTTAATTTAAAATACTTACTATAAACTTACCTGCCTAGCCCAGAATCCTGCACAATTGACAAAATATTCACACTCGATAGCTCCATGACTAGTTTCTACACCACATACGCGGTCGTCCTTAGATAGTACTGATGTCACCGCGCAATCTTCCATCACTCCTACGCCTAAAAATGTTAATTTTCTTTTAGCGATTAATAAGCATTTTTAAACGTGTACTCATGCAAACTTTTAATATTTAATAACATGTTACTTGCCATTTTCGACGGCTTCTCGCATTAAGGACATACAAAACAAATGAGGGTCTCCGACACCGTCACCAGGAATCCATAATCCACCGACAATATCGTCCACATTGAGCAAAGGCCATAATTCTTGACATCTCTTCGGAGTAACAAGTTCACAAGGTATACCCCATGAACTATCTAGAAAATTTTAATGTGTTTTATTCTCTAGACACAATCAGACAAAAAACTACCTTCATTGCGCTGTTGAAGATTAAAGGTGACCAAGATACAAATTCAATTTTAACTTTACCAAGGCATAATTTTTGCATATAACCTTTGAGTATATTCAAAACTATCTTCCTGCAACTCGGCCTAAAATAACGGTGAAGAAAGTCGGGGAAACAAATGTTATATATATCATTGGTTTTCCTACACCCATGGTTCGTCTCAAGAATAGGACACACGAGGGAATTTTGTACGAAATTTCTGTTATAAACATTATTAACTTTTTGTTTTTATTACACAAAACCGAGTATTCGATAGGAGACCGTCCTACAAACTGAAAGAGACACGCTTGCAAATTTGTTAACTGGCCGCGAGACGCATGTCAGTCGCGCATCCCGATCGATAACTTGCAGACTATCTCAACGAATTGTGTGTAGGCCGCCAGGCTAGCTTGTGAGCTTATTTAAATGTATAAAAGTTGACCAGAGGGCCAGACCCTTACGTAACCTATGTTTATTAGGTCTATAAGAAATTTTTGTCCATTGTTGCAGTACACAGAAATTTCTCATTTATTTCTCCATACAACGTTTTATAAAAATCAATTGCATTAAATTTTCTACCATGTGGACTGTATATGACAAGCGTGTTGCTCAATTATTACTTGTCATTTACTCAAAAGCAACTACGGTGCCAAAATTAGAATCAATAATCATTTAAAGTCTAATGTTTATAATTTACGAGTTCCAGAAGGGAAATAACGCTGCTGCAGCCCGTAGGTCTTTGTGTAGTTTTGGGCTCGGCGTGTACATGAACGTATGTATAAATATGTCTAAGATCGACAACAATTTTTCTAAGCGACTTTAGCTGAAGAAGAAGGATATATGCCATAGTTGCCAGGCGTGACAACTATGACAAATACCCCCCCCCCCCCCCCCCCCCCTGAGGTAATCTATGTGGAAGACCTATATTCAGCAGTGGATTTTTAATGAATTATTGAAAGGTTTAAAACATTATTTCGCCAGGGTGTTAATTTCACACATGAAGCAACACGGGCCACGGCGGCGGACTGGTCGGGAGTAGCCATAACGTTTTCCTCAATATAAAACTGTCTGTCATTTTTTGCAGGGAAAATCTGCGCATTTTGTATGCGCAGAACAATCGTCTGTACTACGAAACACATATAACAATTAAAGCAATAAACTAACAATTTCACACACACACACACACACACACACACACACACGGATAAGCAGTATGGTACGGTGACAGCGACAACTCGGATAAGTCGCTCAACCGATCTACATATTGTATGAGGGCGAGCATCCATCACATCAGCATATCCGAAACAACACGACCGTAATTATTGTAATTTCCAAATTTAAAATTTTCATCATTGTAAATTTGACGTGGCATATCTATTTTTGCAAAAAACGGAACAATTCAGCATTATTGCAGACCTTAGATTCAGGCGCGCGCCGAATCAGATTTAGTCTACTGAGCGGTGTGGCTGCAATTTTATTGTACGCATGGACTTGTACTTTGATAGAGAGAAACGCCTGCGTGGTGGATGTACTCTCCTCCTGTCCACCGGTGGCCCGTGTTGTTCTATGATTTTACAGTACAACGACGATGCGAGACCGCACATTTGAAAGACAACATAACTAAAATTCAAGAAGTAGGATGGAAAGAATAATATTTAACGTCAAAAAGCAGACAGGGATCAACATCTTTAATCTAGAAGGCAAATGGAAAGTGGAAAATGGCAGTATGTAATTGACTAATTTATTTACCAAAACCGATGAAAATTTCCGATAGTCCATTAATTAAACATAACTGTTTTACTGGCAATAATGAAAAACCAAACCTACAAATATCCGATAACATAACACTAGCGCGGCAAGTTAGTAACACTAGTCGAATGCAGTTTCAGATAAATGTGACAAACACAAAATAACCTTACCGGAATACCAGCTATAATACCGTCTAATTACAAAAAGTAGTATATAATTAGTCTCAGGTCTAAACTAGAGTATTTTTCAATAAAGAAGTCACGTTTTTTTTTTATAGGATAAGGATGACAAACGATCACACAGTCTACATGATGGTAAGTACTTTCTGTGGCCCATAGACATCTAAATCTATCCTCAAATATGAATCAAATGCAGATACGTTGTCACCCATGAGGACTAAGATGGAATACCTCGTTTCCAGTAAAAGGGATCTCCGGTTCTCTACATTCACCATACGAAACACAGCAGTGTTAAGCTGCTATTTTACGCTGGTATTCTGTGAGAGCGTAGTCCTTCCCCGGACGAACCGACCCATTCGTGCTACAACTACACTATTAATAAAGCTGCAGCATGACCCTAACACGTATAAATGTACCGTATGCTAATTATAATATAAAGTAGGAAATTTTGCCGCAAATATCAATTTTTGCGGAGACTGTAGCTCCGCGGCTAAGGTACTTCTTTCGTAGAAAAGACTCTTCTTTAGGACGGAAACTATCAATAAGTCCCGTTTTTTAATAAGACCATAAAATTTACAGCAGAAACGTTAGCTTTGACTGTGAGGAGCTTCGACATTGAACTAAGAAGAACCGACGGCGTGGTAGTCCAGCACTGTAATCACAGGGATACCTAAGTAATCAATATATATATAGTGAATTTAATGATACATACACTGACTGACTCTTCATTCTTCTATAAACAGTCATTCTATCCCGAGTTCTAGCAAGTAATAGAGAGCCACATTGCTTCCAGCCAGTGGATCTACCACGCGCCTCTAACTCTTGCAAGAGACGAATTGAAGATTGTGCAAGCTTAACTTGAGCCAAAGATGGTTTGAAGGCGCCAACAAGTCCTGAGGCATGCCAGCGACTACCTGCACCTATTCTAAACATAAAAAACATACCAATTAACTAAATATAAAATATACAAATAAAATGATTAGATTCTTTATTTGCTATGAATTATGCCAGCGAATCGTTCGTGTGAATTTTATTATCATGGAGACGTAAGTAGACAGTGGTAGTAGTGATAATCACAATTTTTTATTATAATCATAAACATCATCTTCATTATCACATTTCATTAATGATCACTGCTGAACGTAGGCCACAAATGGACCGTGTTGTGTAGTTGTTATAAATGTTTTAACTTACAAAATCATTATGTTATTGAGGTTTGAATTTTAAATATATGTATAATATAATGGAATAATAGGTGTTGATAGGTACCCAGATATAACTATCTACAAAAAGAAATGAGATGCCATCAAAAATATAACTTGTAAAAAAAAACCAAGTCTCGCAACTCAGTTCTTCTACCGTAAAAAGTTGTGAGATCCATGTAACACCAAGTCGGTTAATTTATTCAGTCCCTACTTAAGGGTCCTTCTGTCTTAAGTTATTACGAAATTAGCTAACCTAACAACATCTTATAGTGACCATATCAATATTAAAAATCTTTTATGTTTTAAATAAATAAATTGACTTGGCAATCGCACTAAACAATATAATTTGATATAATATGGTATTACTTGAGAGATACATTGTGTTTTCATTGCGATGGCAAAGTCAATCTATAATATTTTAAAGAAAGTATAAGATTTTAAAGAAAATTGAATGTATATTTTGAGATTACTTGTTATTTTACAAAAGTCTTTCATGCGTTGATATAAACTAAAAAAGAAGCCTATAAATCATTATGTTCTCCAGTTTTTGAGTTGGGTCATTCCAACGCGGTCCAAATAACCAATACGACCTACCTATTTTAGCTGCAAAATAAAAGCACTACACTGTTGTTGCGATCTGGTTTAAAAGGTTAGGAAGTCCGCCCGAATAATAAGAACATTCCCGGGAAAGTGAATACTCGCTACTACTCCCAAATTATTCGTTAATCGGTAGAAGTGTTGTCATAGCAACGTTCGATTATTGTCACTCATTGCATGCCAGTTACTTTGGTCCAAGTTGGCAAAAATGAGTGAACGAGATCTGACATACATACATACTAACATACATAAATATCTTGCTAAAATCAGAACCCCTTTTGTCTTTACAGTATGCTTAGTGTTCGCGTAAATATAAGAAATCATTAAATTAATAGTACTGCATTAAAATATTTTGAAAGGTTGCTTGATTATCTGGAAAACAAACCAACCAGGTGATCGAAGGATCAGTAATAAGGATTAATTCGTTTTGTATGGTAAATATTTTACGTATCCAACGTATATTTCGATCACAAAATTCTTCACATTATATTGATGCGTCACATTGCGAACATTTTGGAATATTTCGACGACAGCTTAACCCAGCCGACAGTTGTTGATGGCGCAAAAGCAGTTTTTTTAAGTAATATCCCGCCTAAAGGGTGATGCAGTCGAAGATGCGAAAGAAAGATGTAAAGCGCACTGACTTAGCAAACAAAAGCAAACAAAAGCAAAAGCAGCCTTGAAGACACCCACGTAGTTATCAGATAAAAAAATTACTGACAAATTATTCTACTCCTTTGTTGTACGCATTATTGCGTGGAATGTCGACAACAAAGGGGTGGACACCAGGCCAGCGTTTGGTAGTCCGATGATGAATCGGAGAGGGATGAATTAAGTTATGTAATTTCTGCGCACACTTTGAAATGTATGCTGGAAAACTCGAGACTATTAAGATTGTTTTCAATCATAATCTACGATCAACCAAACCAACTAGATATCATAGATAGATAGCACACTGGAGACGTGAGCTCTTATTTCGTTTAGTTGACTTGAAACACAGCCAATGTAAACACGTTTCATGATGCCGCAATGTGTATTTAAAAGTTGCAAGAATAATACCCGAAAAGCAATTTAACGGTCGAGGTGTTTTACTTTCTTTAAGTACATGTAGAATAAGTTATATTTTAAGCTCTAAACTAACAAATAATATCATATTTGAAACAAAATTACCGATTTTAAATCACGCATACAAATGTTTTGCTAAGGTTGGCTAATACACGCGTAAATATTTGTGAAACAGAACAGTAGATGCGTGGAGTAGATTTGTATTTATTATTCTTTATTGCACACCAACACAAAGAAGTACGTAATGGGCGGTCTTATTGCTAATAGCAATTTCTTCGAGACAACCACTGAATGGACAGGATTACAACGAAGATAACAGGGGTAGGGCAAATTGGTGTGATAAATAAAATACCTATATATATATATATATATATATATATATATATATATATATATATATATATATATATATATATATATATATATATACACATATAGAATAGAATAGAATATTTTTTATTCAATATACATTACATGTGTAATTCTTATTGAAAGTCATTTTTTACTTTACCACTGGTTCGAAAAAAACCCTCTATCCTGGGAAGAACCAGCAAGAAACCCAGCGGGACTTTTTTTTAAATAAATTTTACAATATAAATGATTACGAACTATTTACAAAATTTATTTTAGAAACTGCTTGGAAGCGACCGCCTCATTTCCAGGGGTTATTATCAACTATGTATTCATTTATACTATAATAACCCTTTTTATACAGTTTCAGCTTAATAAAACATTTTAACTTGGTAATAGAGAGAACCTGTACACTTTCCGGAACCTTGTTGTAATAGCGTATACATTGCCCCAAGAATGAATTACTGACTCTGTGGAGTCGAGAAACTGACATCACTAGCTTGTGTTTGTTCCTAGTGTTTACAGAATGTATATCACTTTTTTTACTAAAACTATCTTTGTTTTTGTGAACATACATTAAATTTTCGTAAATATACTGAGAGGCCAAAGTTAAAATATTAATTTCTTTAAATTTATCTCTAAGAGACTCTCTCGGTTTTAGATTGTAAATAGCTCTAATGGCCCTCTTCTGTAAAACAAAAATAGTTTCTGAATCAGGCGCATTTTCACCATAGCAAAATCCCATAAGACATTATGCTATGGGAATAACTAAAATAAACTAATCTAGCTGTCTCGACACTAGTGAGACCTCTAATATTTTTTACAGCATAGGCTGCAGAACTTAGTCTGCTTGCTAATTTGGATATATGGGGGCCCCACTGGAACTTTGCGTCAAGAGTGATGCCAAGAAAAACAGTGGATACAACAGGGCTCAATTCCTCCCCATTTAAAAATACATTGGTATTCAGATTTTTAACATTCGTTGTTGTAAATTTAACACAATTAGTTTATTTCCGTTCAAATGCAGATTATTAACGTTAAACCAATGCACTAATTTTGATATAGCATTATTCACTTCGTCACATTTAAATGATTGACGTTTAAGTTTAAAAATCAAGGAAGTATCATCAGCAAATAATACTATATCATGACTATCCCCTACAAGGTGAGGTAAGTCATTAATATACACCAGAAACAGGAATGGGCCCACTAGTGTCGAGCCCTGAGGAACACCCATTAGTCCAGGTGACCCGGAAGAACTTTTACCATTGATAATAACCTTCTGTTTTCTATTACTTAAATATGACATAATAAGTTTAAGCGCTGTGTTCTTGACGCCATAGTACTGTAGCTTCCTGATTAATGTCTCATGGTGAACACAGTCGAAGGCCTTGGAAAGGTCACAAAATATACCCAAAGCATCCTCTGAATTCTCCCATGCACAAAAAATATGTTTAATAAGCTCAACTCCAGCGTCAGTTGTCGAGCGACCCCTTGTAAAACCGAATTGATTTTTATGTAGCAATTTATTAATATTAAAGAAACTTAACATCTGATCTAAAATAATTTTTTCAAAAATTTTACTTAATGTTGGTAGTACAGAAATTGGTCTAAAATTGGCGGGGTCTAATGTACTACCAGATTTATATGACTTTACTATGTTTCATTAAATCAGGAAACACACCAGATTCGACGCTTATATTAAATATAATGGCTAGATAAGGTGCTAACATATCTATTATAGATAAAATAACTTTAACGGAAATCCCCCATAAGTCTGCCGTTTTCTTAACATCAATAGTTTTAAAATATTTAACGATATCTTTTGGCAGTACTCTATGGAATTTAAAAGTATTTGAACAAGCCTTTACATTTTGTTTGAGCAATGATTCGGCGACAGTAGGAGAAGAATTTAATGATTTTGTTGTCAAAAAAGGAACATCAGTAAAGTGTTTCTCAAAAGCAATAGCAACTTCTTGATCAGATCGCGTTAAATTATTGTTAATATTCAATTGAAAATCCGAGTTGCGCGGTTTGACCTTGCCCGTTTCACTATTTATTATTCTCCAGGTCATTTTAATTTTGTCGGATGCAGTTTTAATTTTGTTGCTTAAATATAAAGCCTTAGCAGTGGAGCACACTTTTTTAAATATTTTAGAATATGTTTTTACATAATCTCTAAATATAACACTACTATTATATGATCTTTCATCATAAAGCTCGTATAACCTTCGCCTACTTTTATAAATTCCTACTGTCGCCCATTCATTAAATGATTTGCGACTGTTAAAAGAGAAAGTTTTAGAAGTAAATATTCTACTAAATTCACAACTTATAATTTCAAATAATGTAGCATACAAATAATTAGCACTATTTTTAAACGAAAGTGATGGAAGTCTTTTTATTATATTACTTCTAAACCTCTCCAAGCGATGTTCATTTATTGGAACAAACACAACTTTCTTATTTTTCTGTTTTTTGTGTATGTAAGGTAGTGATACTAACTGTCCACAGTGATCCGAACTTAAATTTTGAATAATTGATTTATGCAAGGGCTTAACATCTGTAAAAATGTTATCTATACAGGTCGCACTAGGCCCAGCAATACGTGTTGGTTCTAAGAATAAATTTACAAGATTATACGATTTAAACAATGAGCGAAACTTAATACTAATGGAAGAAGTTTCAAGGAGATTGATATTAAAGT